CTTCTTTAATGAGAACTGAAGTTTTTTATCATCTGCTGTGGCCGTTCTATGAACCACCTTCTTCTTTCTGCGAGCAGTTCCTTTCCCTCCAATGCGCACTTGTGCCTGCAGTTTGGCGAGTTTTTCCTGGTTCATGATAGTTTCTTTCATCTTGTCGGAGCAGATATGGGGCAGCACGGGGGACTAGGGCTGGCGCTCAGGGGGTCTCGGGCGGACCAGCTGAGATTCCATCATTGTACCTTGAAGAAATCAACAAACCAAATATGATGACTTATACCAGATTTATATACTTTTCTTTGCTGCCATGACAAAATACCTGACACAAGTTAAAGGAGGAAAGATTAATTTAGCTCATCGTTTGTACAGATTTTAGTGCCTAGTTGACTGGCTCTAAGACAGCGTGACATGACAGAGGAAAATCACAAAAGAGAAACTGTTATAGTATTAGGAGGCAGCCAAACAGCCTGCCTCCCCCTGTTATTCCTTCCAAACTACCTGCATTTGGGGTGGTACCACCCATAACCTGGGTGAATCTTCCCATTTTCCACATCCAGACTCATACTAAGGCAATCAGTGGGCTAGTGTAGTAAACACCCTTCATCCTAGGATTACATCCTTAATCCCAGCAGCATATATTCTAGATCCAGCCATAAAGCCCCTGCTATGACCACATGAAGCTTTAGGGGGACATCTGTATTCAAGCCATAACAATGCTTTTAGTTCTAGTTAAGAGGAAGGCTAAGAATGATGGATTTCTTGAATCCAGGACTTTGAGGACAGCTTTGGTAACATAGCAAGACTAACAGCAAATCCCTAAACAAAGAATAAATCAACCAAACAGGAGATATATATGTGCAGTGCAAATGGTCACACTGAGATAATCATAATAATGTTTCTGTCTTTGGGTGTATGGACTCTTAATGAATCTGAAAAATCTTTTATACAGTATTAATCTTTTTTTTATCAGTAGGCAGAAAGCCACAATGACACAGAACTATGTGATTGTAAACCTTGTGGAGATTTCTTCAGTGGACTCATGTGCTTTAAGTCACATATGGGGACTCAGAATACCAGGAGCACTTCTGAGTGTGATCAGTATCGAATAGAAATCCTTCCTGTGCACAAAGAAATCTCTACTAGAGAGAAAATTTCTATGTCAAATCAGTGTGAGCCAATTTTCAGTCAACCTTCAAGTGTCCTTTACCCAAGAAGGTGCCTTCAGAATCAACTCTTTGTAGGCAGTGACTGTGGGGAAGTGTTTGTTGATCAATCAGACTTTTAGACTGATAGCAGAATGCACAGTGAAAACAACCTTCATGAATTGAAGAATGCGGGATAGATTTTCTTCATTTTAGCCTTGCTGTGCTGGTACAAACTCATAATGCAGAAAAACCATATAAGTGTAAGGAATGTGGAAAGAGCTTCAAGTGTTCTGCCTACCTTAATATTCATATAGGCGCCAACAGTGGAGGCAACCCTTATGAATGTAAGGAATGTGAGAAAACCTTCACTAGGTCTTGCCAGCTCACTGAGCATAAAAAAACTCACACTTATATGGTGAGAAGCCATTTAAGTGTAGAGAATGTGGGAAAGCCTACAAAATTTCTCCATGCTTAAATCAACATTTGAAAGCTCATGTTGGAGAAAAACCCTATGAATATAACAAATGTGAGACTGTCTTTACAACATCTTCTCAATTCACTGAACATATGAAAAACCACACTGTTGAGAAGCTTTAGAGTGTAATGTGTGTGGGAAGTCTTTCTAAAACTTCTCATACCTTCATGATCACTTTTGAATCCACAGTGGGATAAAACCCTTCAAATGTAGGGATCATGGGAAGGCCTTCATTCAGAATGCAGAGCTCACCAAGCATATCTGCATCCACAAAGGAGAGAGGCCATATGAGTGTAAAGAATGTGGGAAAGCATTTGCCAGATCCTCCCGCCTCAAGGAACACATGAGAACTCACACTGGAGAGAAGCCATTTGAATGTGTTAAGTGTGGGAAAGCATTTGCTATTTCCTCAAATCTAAGTAAACATCTGATAATTCACACTGGGGAGAAGCCCTTTAAGTGCAAAGAATGTGGGAAAGCACTTTCACATTCCTCTAGTCTGGATAATCACATGCAGACTCACAGTGCCAAAAAGCCATACATGTGTGGTATGTGGGAAAGCCTTTAAGTTTTCCACATGAGTTACCCTTCACATGCAAATCTAGACTGGAGAAAAACCCTATTAATGTAAAACGTGTGGGAAATCTTGAGGTATTCCAATTCATTTCAGTTACATGAAAGAACTCACACTGGAAAGAAAAGCTCTCAGTTCTTAAGTTCCTTACAGAATCATCAATGAAGGCATAGTGAAGAGAAACATCAGTGTAAAGGATGTGCGAAAGCTTAAAGTTTCCTATTCACTTTGAAGACACAAATGAACTCTGGGGAGAAACCTACAAATGGAAGGCATTTAGGAACATCTTTATTCCTATATTAGGTCTTAACAAATATGTAAATTTTCATAGAGGAGATGATTCTGTGTCCGTTGGAGACTTGGAAAAGATTTTGCTTTATTCCGAAGACTCACATTAAAAATCTTATTGAAGGGAAGCCATATGAATGTAAAGAATGTGGGACATTCCACAAACTTTAATATGTACACATAAGCTCACACTGAAGAGAAAATCTCAGATTTAAATAGTGTGTTTTCCCTCTTCAGTTGATATTTTGAAGCCTGAACCATTACTTCCTTACAGTATAAGAGTACTTGGACTTTAAACATGTCATGCAAATGAAGCTGAAAAAAAACTGAAGCTGAGTCAGTCTTTAATACAATATCCTTAGAGTCCCTGTGAGAAGAGAAAGTAAATGTATGATGGCATATATCTGTAATCCCAGTATCTTGGGAAGCTGAGGCAGGAGGATCTCAAGTTGGAGGCTAGCCTGGGGAATTTAATAAGACTGTGTCTCAAAAATAAGAGTTGAAGATGCTGTTTGGTAAAAGGCCTTGTATTCAATCCCCGCTCCTGAGGAAAGAAAGAGAAAATACAAGGCAAGGAAGGGCAAAGCCAGAGAAGACCCATGTAAAGATGACAAAAGGTGACTTTTTGGAAACCAAAGGCACAGGTCTGGAACAGAAGCCAGCCATGTGCGTGTCTTGATGTAGGACCTTCATACTCTAGAAATGAAGACCAATGAAATTCTTTTTTTTAAAGCTATTAAGTCTATGCTATTTTATTATGACTCCCCTGGAGAGCTAATATGGTGAAGAATGTGGGAAAAATTTAGGTATTCCATGAGTCATGATATTTGTACATGAATCCAGTGTGTAGAGAAGCCTTAAGGATATAGGGAATGTAGCAAAGCCTTCATTTAATTTCAGTTGATTGGAAAGAGGAAGGAAATAGAGCAGCTCCATGAATGGAAGGTATGCAAAAAGTTTTTCTATTTCAGAATTTACTTATACCACCTCTGGAAATAGACCCTGGGGGCTGGGGATGTAGGTCAACAGCACATCACCTGCCTGGCAAGCAGAGGTCCTGGGTGTGATTCCTGGTACGACACCCCTCCCTAATACTGAAAATAAACAATAGAAAGAAAGAAAATAAACTTTTTTAAAAAATGAAATAAAGGAATGTGACTGTACAGATAAAGCATACAAGTCAGTGTAGCATAGACTTACTTTTATGGGGTCTTCATAATCCCTGACTGTTCTCAATCCTGTCATTTCAACCTTTCAGGTGCTAGGATTACAGGTGCATACCTGCTTTACAAGGGTTATTTTACATTTATAAAATTATTGCAAATGCTATAGGACCCAGGCATGGTGACACACACTTTTATTTCCACCTTTTATTTTATTTTTTGAAATTAATTTTATCAATAAACAAATAGCAGTGAGACAGTTTCAAAACCGGTTAGTTGGATAGTTTCAGTAATACATTACATATTGTCTTCACAGTGGTTATTCATAGTACAAGATGCAGACATGATAGTCTGTCCAAACACTATTAGTACAAATCTTTCTTCTCACTGAATTAAGAGAAAGTAGCTGTATATCTATACTGTTTTTGTATATACAGATACAAAATAGTCCTTCATTTGCATCCCCTTTTTTATTTAGTTTTGTCAGAGATGGGTATTCCACTGCCATTTAAATATTGTAGGTGTGGACATGTACTTTTAATCCCAGCATTCTTGGAGTCTCAGGCAGGACGATCACAATTTTGAGGCCAGCCTGAGCTTCTTATTGGCTTCTCTGGTCAGAGGGCCATCTTTCCTTGACAGCCACTAGTGCACTGAGATATGTGAGTACACAGCGCACTGTTTGACCTGCCTGCATATCTGCCTAACAATAGGACATTCATTCTTGTTATTGGCTGTGGTAGGACATATGATTATTTTACATAAGGCCCTAGACCTGCTGGCAATCTCCAAGTTGTTTAGTATTAGGTGTTTAAAAAAAAAGTATTAGGTGTTTAAATCATTGTTTAAAACTGTGGGTGAAAGGTATTTATTTATTGGTACTCATGATCGTGTGCTTGCCAGGCAGATGCTCTACCATTGAGCTATATTCCTGGCTATGTCTCCATAGTAAAAAAAAATATTTTTAGTATGATGAATTCCTTGGTGTAGCATTTAATTTATTGTTAACTGAAAAATCTAACATTTTATTTACCAGTTGATTGAAAATGTTTTAAACTTTCATTTTTGATCTATGAACCTAATATTAGTAATAAAACTTAAGGCACTTTAAGGCATTTCTGTTGTTTTCTAGGGCAATTTTTAGCCCAGCCAGTCAATCTGCTTTTCAATGGCATCCCCCATCTTTGGTTCTTTAAATAAAAGTAATAATAGACTTCTTTTTTTTGTGGTTTCACATTTGTTAGAACCCTACCAATGAGTTACACCTCATAAACTCTCTTTGCTTATTAAACATTGTATAAGGCCAAGTGCTGTGGTGCACACCTATAATCCCTGCATTCTAGGAGGATTAGGCAGGAAGTTTTGAGCCCAGTCTGAGCAGTTTAGGGACTCTGTCTAAAACAGTATAGCAAAAGGGCTGGCAAGATAGCTGAATGGGCTAAGTGCCTGCTTAGGCAAGCTCAGGGACTGGGGTTTGATCCTGGCACCACATGTCATGCAGCCCCCATCCCTGGGCATGCTGAGCTGGCCATGAAGACTTGGCATGGTGTTGTGCACCTGTAATCCCAGCACTGGGGAAGCTGAACACAGGAGAATCACTATGAGTCCGAGCTGTATAGTGAGACCCTGTACCAAATACATTAAAGAAAATATGGTAAAATACACATCACAAAATTTACCATTCTAAGAATTTTATTTTGTGTTTTAAATTATTTTTTGAGGGTCTTGTTATTTAGCAGACTATTTAGGAAACAGTCTGGGTCTGGGAATAGTAGTTCTGGTTGGCCTTAAACTGTACCTGGAGTGATCTCACACTCATGGTGATTCTCCTGACTCAGCCTCCTGAGTGCTTGGGTTGTAGGCACACACCACTATGCACAGCACACATTTTTATTTATTTATTTATTATTTATTTATTTTTCTATCTTAGGACAGGGTCTACAGGATCTACAGTGTCTCACTACATCGATTGGACAACATGTGACCCGCCTGCCTCAGCGTGGCAGTAGTCTGTGAATGCAGGCTTGCATGCCTACACATTGGTGAACATGTGCTTTATGAGCAGCAAGGGCCACAGTCTGCATTTTCACCTTGACAGAGGAGAGGGCCCTGCTGTTTGTCAGGTCATTACGAAAGTACAGGGGTGGGGTTCAGAGGAGTCACTCTCAGAGGAGGACTTGGGAATTTATACCTGAATCACCTGGAATTGTGGACAAGGCTGGATTTCAGTTTTTCCTCTTTGGTCAGCTCTGCCTGCTTTGGCTCAGGCTGATCAAGGTGGATGGTACTGAGTTCTTTGTAGTGACTCGTCTCACTCCCAAGTGAGAAGGGACCCAGACTGTTTCTTCAAGTGACGTCTGTTGTGAGCAGATGCGGAAACCTGTTCTCTTGGCCTGAGACCCTTGATGTGCCCAAGCCATGTTCAGGGATCTGAGCTCCTAGTAAGATGCTCTAGGACTTTCTGATGGTTAGTGTGCCACACTTAATGCACACATAGTAGTAACTGGTTCCAAGTCATATGAAAAATGTAGTGAACAGAGATATAGATTTCCTTTGCCTTTTGCTCCTAGACCAAACGTGATGAGAAAAATCACAAACATCTAATGCAAACAGTGCGATTAATTTCTGACAAAGAGAAAATAGAGATGAATAACAGAATGGTAGAGAAATTTCTGAGTATTTTCCACAGATGGATCAGTCATACTGAGAATTAGGGGACTCTTCAGGGTTTAGCAGAGAGCAAGGAAAATTGTACTGCTGTAGGTTTCTGCCAAAGAGGGCAGTGAAGAATTCTATTTTTAATTTGTTAAAGATTTGATAGAATACAGTAAAAAAATTTAAAAAGTACACAAAAATTTAAAAATTCTCCATGTTTAAAATTTCTTTTTGTGTTTTCTTTCCCTACAACTTCTATTCCTTTCTCCTTGGATTCTTTCCATTCTTTTTTAATTTTATTTGCATTTATTTTATGCTTAATTTATTCCCTTTTTTTTTCTTAATTTATTCCTGTGCCAAAGTTTTTGCTTTTTCAGTTTCTTCTGGGATATCTTTTTCTTCTGTGCAACTTCCTCCTCTGGTTTGGGAAGTTTGTTCCTTTTCAGTAAGGATCATCTCAATATAGTAGGGGGAGCTCATGTATGGATTAATCTGGCCCTGAGGTTTATAGGTATGGTGGTGTGTAGAGAGCTGCGCACAGCCGCGCCCCAAAGATGGCGCTGGCTTCCACTTCCCACCCCCTGCGGGTGAGTGCTCTATGTCAGTCAACAACTCCATATAAGGCTGGGCCCAAGGCCCATGGTCTGCTTCCGCATACCTGGACCTATGG